ACGACGACGACGACGACGACGACGACGACGACGACGACGACGACGACGACGACTACTACTACTACTACTACTACTACTACTACTACTACTAGTACTATTACTGCTACTACTACCACAACTATAGACGCCATCGACCTCGAAGACGCCTCTGCCTGCCGAGATGCCGCCCATCGCTTTCTCGGAAGGCCGCCCCCCCCTTCTGCGCCACCCCCCCCCCTCGTGCGCGCCGCCGGGGTCCCCTTGTCCATGGACTGCGGCTTCGGCTCCTTCGACTTCTGCTGGGCCGCGGACAGGAACCCGCCGCCGCGCCCGAGCGACGTGGGCGTGTCTTGGAACTTCCAGGCGGGCGACTTCGAAACGAGGAATGCCTCGCGCGCCGCAGCGCATAGGCCTCACGCTGCAGCTTGCGCGGGACGCCGGCGCGGCACGCCACATTGGAGGCGGAGCCACTTACGCGCGACCTGACGGCTGGAAGCTTGCGCGCCGCCAATGCTGGCGCAGATATTTTTTTGCGTCGCTCAGGTGATGCACTGTCAGCTTTCTGTATCCTGGCAGGTCCCCCCCCTCATTTGCCGAGTGCTGCGTGCAACCCCTCCTGAGGCCATGACCCTCGAAAGAAAGGATTATTCCGCGCCCCCGAGGCGACGATCCCTCAAACAACAACTGTGATGGAGTGGCATCCCGAGCTTCCAAGATCGCCCATGCACACATCCAACGACACCAAGATGGCCCAAGATGCCTCGGAGACGGGCCACGATGGCCCGAATGGGGCAAAATCCCACCAGCCATCTGATCGTGGATGGTTTCACGAACGGTCCTCCATCTTCCAACAGCCCCTCCTTCCCTAGCTCGTGGGAGGGGTTTACCCCTCCCCCTCCCCCTCCCCCATGCCCTCGACCTTGGAGGGGGGGGGTGGCGATGAGTTAGAGCGTCCAACATGGCCCAAGATGGCCTCTGAGAGCGCAAGATGGCCTCCAAGATTGCTCAAGATACCTGAAGATGGCTCGAGGTAACCTCCGACACACATCCAAGAGACCTCAAGACGACCCCCGAAACGGTTTCAACTATCCACGGGTCCCTTCAATGTACGTTGCCGTCTCGCCGTTTCGCTTCCGATGGGTTCGTCAGGCCTCCATATGGCCCCAACACGGCCCAAGAGAGCCCCAAGGTGGGCACAAAAACGCCCCAAGGCAGCCCCAAGAGCGCCCCAAGAGCGCCTCATGGTATCATTGATTCGCCTCATGGGGGGAAACTAAATCCGTAACCCCCTCTATGAGACAGGGAGCCCAAGACGGTCCCAAGAGGCCTCCCACCCCCACGAGCCCCAAGAGGGCCACAAGCAAACCCCAATATAGCTCCAAAAAGCGCTTCAATAATGTCCCAAGGAGACTCCGGCAGGACCCTCAAAGAGCCCAAATGTGGTTCCAAAAGACATCAGGGATATATATTTAATATAATGAATAAAAAACGTGATGTTTCTACACTGCCCTGATCAAAACAACTCGCATTGCGTGCTGCTTCTTGATGGGCTGGTGCGGATTTTTTGTCGCAGCCGCAGGCGAAAGCGCCAGCGGCGAGTCAAGTCAGCCCAGGCTACGAGCGGAACTTTTTGCCGGCGCGCGCGGAAACACCGACAGAACCTACCGCCGGGGGAGCTGGTGGGGATTTTTTGTCGCAGCCGCAAGCGGGAACGCAGGCGGCACCAAACGGAACGACTGGTGGGGAAATGTTTTGGTCAACGGCTCCGAGGCAACGGACAGGGAGCGGAAGGCGTCGTCTGGGCCACAGGCGAGGCTAATTTGCAAGACAATTTACCGCCAGAGTCGCCGGACAAAGCTCGCACTTGCAAAACAAACGCGCGCTGAGCAAAATGCTCCGCATCAAAGCGAACGCACATAGGCGCCGGCCACACCGGAGTCAGACCGCAGTGCGACTGCAACGGAGAAGGCGCCCTGTCGGCGCCAAGCTGCAAGCAGCTCGCTAAGCCGAAAGCGGGCAGGTTAACCGAAGCGACAACGCTGAAGGCTGAACCACCCAACGCGAAGTCCGTCCCACCGCCGTACGCGATGTCGGCTAAGACAGGGGCAGAGAACGGCAGGGACCTACAGAGTACTCACTCCACGATCCACACCGCTGCCCGGGGGGGACTGGGGATACACCCTACGAAAGGCTTAAGAAATCATGGGTTAAGAAATTCATAATCTCAGAACCCAAAATGTCCATTCAAATCTTAGGATTTACGTTGAAACATTATGAATAATCGAGACTCTGGCCGAAAATTTAAGTTTGCTTAAGCATCGCCTAAGGTGTACGCTTTCTTGGTTCGCGGCTCCAAGGCAAGAGACAGGGAGCGAGCACAACGCCCGGGGCGCGGTGCGTAGATAATTGGCGCGAGATTGCCGCGGATTCCAGCGGACAACACACGCAGCGGCGCATGCACATGCCAGGGACAAAATGCCCCTCATTGAGACGCATTTCAGCGTCTGCTGGTGACCGGCCCAGACAGCCCGGCTGGTGGCGAAGCAAAAGGCGCGGCAACGAGGCGGCAGCGGAACGGGGGGGAAAAGTCGCCCTTGCGGCGCCAGGCCCCAGCCGAACCGCACACGGAAGCGAGGCCAAGACGGACAGCAAGACACTGCAAGAGGCCGCGAGCAGAATGCGAGTCCGAGCGGCCGATGGCCCTGACGGAACCCACGCGTGTGCACACTGAGCCAGGCCGTCCAAGACCTCGGAAAAAAGGGGGGTGAGCGCGAGCGAGAGCAACTAACTCAGACTCACTGCAGCTCCACGCGCATGCGCTGATGCGGCGAGGGTGACCCGACTCACAAAAGCTCACTGAGGCTGAGGTGTGGCTGATCCGCGTCAGGGCACCATCCAGTAAGCGGCAGACCACTGGTGTGCGCTCACGAGGCTGAGCAACCTCCAGCCGGTAGCCTGCGCGCTTACATCGCATCCGAAGCACGCTGTTCGGGGGCACGACGACGCAGTGTACTAGAGGGCTGGTGGCTGCGGCTGCGCCGAGAAGAGTGAAACGAACTCGAACCGCAGAAGGCTGAACCACTCAACGCAGGGCCGTTCACTTTGACGGAGCCAATCATCACGTGTATGGCGGACAGCCGCACACACTCAACACCTGCCACGCTGCCCGTGCAGAAGCCGAATACCTCCGACGCCGGGGCGAAACGCTGGCTGGCAGCTGCAGAGCTGCTGGGCCGCACCGTTCGCTGGCGGCGAGCTGACGGCGGGCCGAGGCGCCCTTGTAGTAGAACCATGGCCGGGTCGGCGACGAAGGAAGGACCGCTGTTCCCAGAGCAGGACCCAGGGCAGACGCGCTTCTGTGGCCGGCGCAATGCGATGGCGCTGTTGGGCAGGGGGGGGGGGGGGGGGGGGCGCAGCCAAAAGCCGCTGAACACGATGTCCATGAGGGGTGTCCGAGCACCATCCAGTAAGCGGCAAACCACTGGCGTGCGTTCACGGGGCTGAGCAACCTCCAGCCGGTAGTCCGTGCGCTTACACCGCATCCGAATCACGCTGTTCGGGGGCACAACGATGCAATTGCACTGACGAGGGCATGCGGCTGTGGCTGCGCCGAGAAGAACGAACTTGAACCGCAGACGGCTGAACCACTCGATGCGGGGCCGTTCGCTTTGACGAAGCCACTCGCCATGCGCATGGCTGACAGCCGCGCCCGCTCAACACCTGCCGCGCTGCCCGTGCAGAAGCCAAATGCCTCCGACGCCAAGGCGAACCGATGGCTGGGAGCTGTAGAGCTGCTTGGCCGCGCCGTTCGCTGGCGGCGTGCCGGCGGCGGGCCAAGACCTCCGTGTAGTAGAACCATGGCCGGGTCGGCGACGAAGGGAGGGCCGCTGTTCCCTGGGCAGGTCCCAGGGCAGACGCGGTTCTGCCGCCGCGCGCAATGCGATGGCGCTGTTGGGCGGAGGGGGGGGGGGGGGGGGGCGCAGCCAAAAGCCGCTGAGGCGAATGCCGGCGGGCGGGGGGTGGGGGGGGGGGGGGGGGGGGGGGGGGGGGAGGGGGGGGGGGCGCAGCCAAAAGCCGCTGGGCACATATTAAGATGGGAAGTGGCCGGCGGCCGCGCTGCCGCCTGTGACAAGTTATTCCAGGGGCGGGAGCGCCGCGCTGCCGCCTGTGACAAGTTATTCCAGGGGCGGGAGCGTCTTGGCGGGGGGGTGCCGCGCCACTGCGTGACGAACGCGCCTGTCCCCGTGAAGGGCATGCAGGGCGCGGCTAGCGCGGCCTCCGTGCCTCGCGCAGGGCACCCATGCACTGTGCCTCTTGTCCACGGGAGGGTGAGGCTGCACACGGATAGACAAAGGAGGTGGTGCGCAGGGGGTGGGCTTTTTCAGCCACCAACCACTGCCGTCCAAAGTGGCTGTGAAAGAGGGAGCGCAGGAGGTGGGTTATTTCAGCCACCAGTCACTGCCGTCCAAAGTGGCTGCCGTGGGCGGCGGGAGTGCGGGGCCTAGGGGGGTGCCTGCATACGACCCCAGAGCCCACGCTAGCAGTGGCCTCCGTCGTGGGCGGCTGTGGCCGTGGCCCTGCGCGGCAGACGAAGACGCCCCAGTCGGCCGCAGGGGAGGAGAAGCCCGGCAAGGTCCACGAATCCATTGCGGCCAAGGCCGAGCGCCGCAAGTGAAACTGTCCTAGAAGGGGGGGGGGGAGGCGCGGCGAACGCCGGGCGGAGAGGAGCCGAGGGGGGGTGGGAGATGGCGCGGGCTGCGCACAACAGGCTGCGCGATAGGCGATGCAGGAGGTGGGCCGTAGCGATCGCCGGTTCGCTAACTGCCACCGAGGGAGGCGTCGCCACGGCTGGAGCCCTTGGGGAGATGGCCAGAGCCAATGTTGCGGGCAATCCTGAGGTGAGGGCGCCAACAACGGCGGAAGATGCCGCCGCGCTGGGGGGCGGGCCACCCCAGAGCGGGCCCCTCCTTGCGCCCCCGTCGTCTCAGGAGCCCCAACCTCGTGGACGCTTGTCAGAGTATGGGTCATCTCCTCTGGGCGAGTAGCGCTTGCCCTTCGCCTTCCAGTCTGTCTGGGCGGCCCATGACGTGCCATGGCGCCCCCGCGAGACCCATGACTGCCATCCACGCCGCGAAGAGGCTGAATTAGATGCACCAGTCCACTGATCTGGCGGGACCGCATGTGCCGCCCCCTTGCCCGCTGTGGTCCGAGGGGAAAGGGGGGCCGCTGCCGTCGGCCCCGCGAGAGGTGCGGGGTCTGGCGTGACGTTGCAGGAGCCTGCCGTATCGGTCCTTGACAC